AACCTGCCAGGCTCACCCTCTGATTCAGGCCTGACTGGATGAAGCAGGGCAGAGTCTTCCTGACCATTAGGCAGCATCCTAATTGGGCCAGGGCTGGGCCTGGATACTGACAGTGTCCCTGGTGGGTGCTGGTCGGATGCGTGGGAGGCCCGCGTGGGGACTCCCTTGGATGTATATAGCCCTGGGCCATCTGAGGTGCCTGGGAAGGAGGCGAGGCCCACCTAGGGGTGCGGCCTCCCAGAAGTGAGGCTCCCAGGCCCCGGTCCACACACCTTGACCTTACGCCAGGACATCCACTTGGAACCCTCCGAGAGGTGCAGAGGTAAAGCTTATCTCTAAATCGACCCACCTGGTCCTTTGTGGACAGACAAGGTTCTTGCCCCAGTAATGACAGAGGGCCGCTGCCGCCGTCTTGGTGTTTGGGGAATTTTCCGAAGATGGCAACTCGGGGGGACCTGACACCAGCTCACAAGCCAGGGTGTACGAAGAAAAGGGAAGGAGTAGGGAGGGCTCAGGTCAGCAGCTTAGGGGCCTCCAGCTTGTGCCCTCGAGCGCTTGCTGGTCTTGTTCGCGTGAGAGCAGGGAGCTCTGTTTGGTTGGGACTGTGGACCCCAGCAGACACCGGGTCTATACCGAGCTGTTGAGCCCACTGGGAAATGAGGTTTTTCTTGGCGAAAGAGGCCATGTCCCAGCCAAAACTGACTGGAAGACAAAAGCTCTTTCTCTGGGAAAGGCATCAAAGTACACCTCCTCCTTGTTCCCTGTAATTACTGACTTTTATCTGCTGTTGTGGGATCCTGGAGGGCAGGACTGTGCCTCGGCCTCCCTCAGACCCCAGCACACACCAGGGGCTCAGAGCAGAGGTGTGAGCTGGGGTTGGCAAAGGTGCCTTGGCCTGGAGCTCTTGGCTCCATGAGGCACCCAGCACCGTGGGGCAGGAGAGAGCCAGAGGCTGGCAGCTGGGCGTCCACAGCAGGTCTTTAGGAGAAGCTTCACAGAGCAGAGTTCCGGCTGCAGGGCGGGAGGCTGGAGGATCCGGCTGGGCTCACAGGAGCGTGGGCTGGGGAATCTGGCAGATCCAGGCTCAGAGCCACCTGCTCCATCACCCCGAGCTGTGAGCTGCTGTGGGAGTCATCTCTGGCCTCCTGGGCCAGCCCCCTTCTCTGCTTCTTTACTTCTGCAACAGGAGGGCGACTCCTGCCTGCCTCCTGGGCCGGAGGGGGGATTAATCCTGGGACCAGCGCCTGCAGGACCACACAGAGTCAGCCTTTGGGAGCCTTACTCGGGACCACAGGAAATTACCACCGGATGCCCACTTTTGACACATGAAATAGGAGTTTCTAGGAGTTGGAGATGATAGTGTCGCCTCTCTGGCTGCCTGGTGTGGAGGTTCTTGCCACCCCTCGCCCCTCCAAGCACACCGTGTTAGCCCCTGGTGATAAACTCTTTCTTTCTGCGTCCACCATAACGATGTCCGAGGCTCTGTGGTCCTGTCCTGGGCACAAGTTGTTGGCTGCTGGCATTGTCCTCGGGCAGGAGCGGCTGCAGGGTTGGAAGAGTCTTTATTTCCAGCGTGGCCACTTACATCTTGAGCAAGCTCGGCTTTCTCATCTGTCCGATCAGATGATAACAGTACCTGCTTCCTGCGGCGTTACAAGGATTAAGTCAATCAACCCTTAAGGTCATATTGTGAGTTAGAAAATGTGCAAATACGATTTGCAAGCCATTTTTAGGAAATGTTGGCAAGGATTTAAAGCACGCTGGTACTTTCTAAGGGCTGAAGGTCTGAGTATTTGGTATTGTTATATGGGAGTGGGTTTTGTCTGTGGGGTATGAGTTTGGGAGGCATGGAGTACCTGAAGGGGTGGAGGAGACCCCTGCACTGACCCCAAGTTCCCCCAGCCCTGCCTCCCCAGGCCCGGCTCTGTCTCCAAATACACACAAGACAGATGCTTTAGAAAGATGAGCAGCCAAGTAGTAGCTGGGGCTGGCAGGCATCTAGAGCCCTCTGGCCTCCAAGCTCTAGGAGGGCCACGCAGTGAGACCCGGGCTGTCTTGAGGGTAGGGTGTGGCAGGTCAAATGTGACAATCCCCGGTGAGTACTCAGACAGGCTCCGCCCGGCGAGTGCCGTCCAGGGGTTTGGCAACGTTAAGCAACCCTTGCCTCCCAACAGCAAGCAGCAGGTGTGCCACAACGCTTGATGGTGTCAGCTTGTCCGGCCTGGGCCCGCCCAGGGAATCAGTGGTGCATCTGTGTGGGTCGGGGTGTGACCGCAGGTTCCACAGCTGGTCCCTCACTTGTTCCTCTCTGGCACTTCCTGGCCACCATGTGTTGGGCAGCTTTGCTCCCTGCACCCTGATGCCGTGATGTGCTCCTGCCTTGGAGCCTGCTGACCACCGACTGAATCCTCTGAAACCGTGAGCCAAACAAAACCTCTTCTTTATGTTGTGGGCCATGGCTGTTGGGTCCCAGCCATGGGACAGCTGACTCAGCTGGGTTCTTAGTCTGTTCTATTCAGGGCGCGTGCCAAGTTCCTAGAGAGACCCTGGGCATTTTCAGGAATGGGATCGATACTTGCCTCATGGATGATTTTGTTGCCACCTGTAATGTAAGAAGGATCCCATTAAGCCAAGGATGGTAATCCTAGCACTCGGGAGGCTCAGGCAGGAGGATCATTTGGGAGTTCAAGGCCAGATGAGGCTACAGAGTGAGACTTCGGCTCATTACATAAATAAGTAAGTAGCTGAATAGTGAACTATGTGGAATTATTTATCTATTTAGAGTGGTAAACCTCCACCAGCGATCCAGTTGCTGGTTCTGTTCAGAGCCCCATCCTCCATCTTCCTGGCTCTAAGCCTGAGCCCCCAGCCGGCCACGCTCACCCCGCCCAGACCCCCAGTGCCTTTCCTAGGCCTTCGCGTAGACCCCACTCTTGCTGAACACTCACCTCTACTTCTTCCCCCGAGTCCTGCTCTGTCTTTTCTGGAGCTTCCTTGTAGATGTCCTTAGCTAACTGCGACTAGAAGGCCAGTCTGTTGTGCCGGTGAACAAAGACCCTGGGCATTTTCGATATTAATTTTTGTTTTACGGTACTGGGAATCGAACTTGGGACTTTGCGCTTGCAAGGCAGGCGGCGGCACCACTGAACTGAATCCCTGGCCCTCTTGATATTTGCATTGGAACCTGATTGTACCCACAGTGTCGAATTCTCCTCCAGGATGCGCTTTCCCCCGAGCTCCTCAATGTAGCCGTGAACGTCCCATCAGTCTGCCCCGAGAACAATGCTAAGCCTACCTTCCTCCACCATCTTCGCTCTCTCACACTCGGATTATTTTTGTTTTTTTTCCCCATTTAGATTTCACCACAGTCATAACTGTGACTGCTTTCCTGGATTGCAGCCTGCAGACCCAGTGTTTGTCCGAAGACTTCATCCTCCACCTGTGTGCAGGTAATTAACACCTTTTTATTTGTCCTTGTGTGGCGCTTGCCCTTTGAAGTTTTAGGTTGTCACCTGGTCCCAGCGTTGTTCTCTGTGAGATGAAGAAGGGACTGAGAGACATTGATTAATGGAAAAGCGTTGAGTCCCAAACAGACAATGCATGGGTGTAGTGGAAAACTGCAGAGGGCAGAGGG